TGAGGGCTGAGGAAAGATGAGGCCCCACTCTAACTCTCTGTACACGGTCTGAGAGGAAGTCTCTGATCCAGCGGCAGGTGGTAGAAGGAAGTCCGATTTCCAGCAGTTTAACTATTAGTCTGTCCGGGAGTATCGTGTTGAAAGCAGAGCTAAAGTCAACAAAGAGCAGCCTGGCGTAACGGCCCTGCACTTCCAGGTGAGAGATGGTGGCGTGGAGCGTTGTAGCAATGGCATCTCCAGTTGATCTGTTAGCTCTGTATGCGAACTGGAGCGGGTCGAGTGTGGGTGGCAAGCAGGACGTGATGTGACGTCGGACCAGTTTCTCAAAGCACTTCATTATAACAGGTGTTAGAGCAACTGGTCGGTAGTCGTTGAGGCTGCTGATGTTAGTACGCTTTGGCAGTGGGACAATTGTGGCTGACTTTGGTTAAATGGATGTATCAGAGAGATCTTTATTTTTTTGATCGGTTTAGGCTTTAAACAAATAGATAAAGGTCTGTTTAGTCAGTGTTGAGACTTTGCTGCACAAATACATTTTTGAATCATCTGCCATTATTTTCTATTTCCTCTGTTGTTTTGATGTTTTTGAGTTCCTTCTGTTGGAAATCTGAAAATAAGGAGTTTACTGTTTAATAGTGAAGCATGAAACAATCACAAACCTGTAGTCATACTGGGTGGCTTTTAAGTGTGAGAGTGTATGAATAAATAACTCATTTTCATGAAGCAGGCTTCAAAAAGTTGCTTATGTAGGGAAATTCCACATTAACAGCAGCTCCATAAAACCCATTTAGAAGTAACTGTACGTCATCAGTCTCATCTCTGGGACAAACAGAGGTCTCATCAATTCACAATAAAGAAACCTGATCCTGTTGATCAGCAGCAATGAGCTCAGCCACCCGTGGAATTGACGTCTGTCCCACTCAACCCCCCTCTTGGTTCAATCATTTTCACCAGTTTCCTGGTGAAAATGACTGCTGGCCAGTTTCCAGCTCATCTGTCACGAATGAAAGTGTTCCCTTTCTGCATGATCACTGTTAAAAAGTAACTTGTTGTACAGACTGTCACGTAATCACGCCCAGACACATTATGCATGATTTTGAGCCCTGTTACATAACTATGACCATTTGTTGCAAATGTCATTTAAACATATACCATGCACTGAAAAATTGCCCCCTTTCTGAGATCTTTTTAATTTTTGCATATGTAAAAGGTTTAGGATTATCAAACGAATTTTAATATTGACAAAGATCATCCAAGTAAGTACAAACTACAGTTTTTAGAAGA